CTGCCCCCAAGGCTGGTGCTGACCGCCCAGGCCCAGGCTCGGTTGCCGAGTAAGTGGCCTCGCCTTCCCAGGTCTCTGCCTCTGACCCAGAGGAGTTGTTCCGTGGACACTGGCGTGAGTGAGGGGCCTTTGCTGTCCACTCCTTGTCTTTCCCTAGCCCGCGCCTGGTACTGCCGCAGCAGCTGCGGCCAGTGAAGGTGGGCGCAGCCTCTTCGGGTCAGCGTCCCATACCGTCTCTACCTGTCCTTCTCTCTCCTCGCTCCCACATGCTTACTCTGTTGTCCTTATGCCGTCCTGCACTGCTGGGTGCAGCTGATGGTGCTCACAGACATTAGTGCAGCCTCTGTCCCCTCAGCGGCCGACTCCACTCGGGGAAGTGAGTTCTCGTAAATGAAGGCTCGTGCAAACTGCCTCAAAGCCACTAGTTCTTCTAGTCTCTCACTTAATACCACATTTAAACGTGGAATGAGTTACTGTTCAACTGAGAAATTTTGTAACCTTAATAACTAAACCATACCAGTCTTACTGTTTTTTTTTTAATGGCACAACTTTGTACTGTGGCCACTGTGGTTAGTGCACCCCGCGTCATTCGTGGGAAGTCCCTGGACGTCACATCTGAGGGTTGTGTCGTTTCTTAGCTGCCACCTCAGAGACTTTGGTTCTTGGTGTCGAGACCTTTCTGGGAAGAGAACAGTGAAGCAGTGGCAGGAGGAGACGCCGGTGTCAGACCCGTCTTCTCTCGTGACAAGTCTCTCTTCCACGGCCAGCAGTGAGAGGGACGGCCCCCTTGGTTTTCCTGAGGAGGGAAAGCCCTCACACATCTCGTTTTCCTGGGGCTGGGCCTCTTTCCCTGGGACGAGAGTCGTGCGGCTGTGCCAAGGGGGTTTTCATGGTTTAGGGGGTGTGTACCGTGGGCAGGACAGCTTTTCCCCTTGATCTGTCTTCACTTGGTATGAGCTGAGGGGGACCAACAGGAGACTCAGGTGTCTGTGGTGAATCCCGGTGCTGCCTTTTTCATTTCCCTCCCTGTTCATGGGTGTCTGTGGGCAGAGAGCTGCAGATCCGCGTTTCCTAGTCTTCTACTAACTTTTCTCCTTGTAGTTTCACTAATAATTTTGGTACGGGTTCTCTGGGGAGGAGCATTTAGGCTCAGATGTCAACCCCGGCAAATGAGCCTCGTCAGCCTGGTTCTCAGCGTTAGCCACAGGGGTTTCCCCTGAGAAAGGCTGCAGCAGAACTCGTCCTCAAAACAGTGTCCTAGGCAGGGTGAGGCTTCACAGTAACCGCTATACATCGGGTTCTAAGGAGGAATTTACATCAGTGTCAAACTGTATCTTAAAATGCCACCTGTGTATTTATTTATACTTTTAAATATGTTCCCAAGTTTTGAAAGGTTCTAGTATAGCTGAAGATAGGTGGTCTTCTGTATAATCTGTAGTGATACAATCTCGTTTGCCTCCATGAGCTCAGTTGGACACGTACTTCTTTCACATTTTGAAAATTCTCTGAAATTCAGGGGTTGAAATGTGAGTTTCCAAGGGTATTACAAATAGATTTCTGCTATTTTTGTTACTTGCTGCTTTTCTTATTGTTTGGGGAGAAAGATTAATGTTCCTAAAGAGCTTGTTAATAATATTAACATCTGATATACAAAACCCCTTTCAGTTATGGTTAAATAAATTAACCAGTAGAATCTGATGTTAATTCCTAATTGTGTTCTCTTTTCTGTGAAAACAGTGATTTTCTGAAAGTGGTAGAAGGCAGTCTGGGCATGTGTCTCCGTGACTCTGGAGCCCTCTGTAGATGGTCACCCTGCACAACAGGTGGCCGCAGCGTAGCAGGCTCCACCGTCCACAGCACACTTGTAATTCGCCTCGCCCTCTGCGTCTCCACAGGCGGAGAGGTGGTGAAGATCGCTCAGCTGGCGTCCATAGCAGGGACGCAGAACCGCGTCACTCAGCCCGAGACGCCCGTGACTCTGCAGTTCCAGGGGAACAAGTTCACCTTGTCACACAACCAGCTCCGGCAGCTCACGGCAGGCCAGCCCCTGCAGCTGCAAGGTGAGAAGTAACCTTGCAGTGACACCCGCCGTGACGGAAGGAGAAAAACATCCAGCCTGCTGCTGCAGTCCCGGCTCGAGCCCTGATCTGCCACTCTGGGCGGGTTGTCTGGCTGCTCAGCTTCAGGCTGTGCACGTGCATATGGTGCTGGTAATTCTTAGACTGCAAGGGACGTACGAGATGACAGACTGGACCACTTGGTGGCCTGCTACCTGACACACCTTAAGTAAAGAGTGGCCATTTTTATTATAACATCCGCCCTTTGTAAAGAGGCTCCTATTTTTAAATCAAAATAAGGAGATTTGGTGCTTTCTAATTTTAGTGTGGGGTGAATTGTCCTAAAATGTCAAAGGATTAGCGCTTCACGTGGGAGAGCTTGTGTCTCACGTGTGGACTGTAATTCTCACCCCTGGACCTTTGGCCGAGAGCAGTGTCTGTTACTCATCCCTTGTTCCCTAGAGAGCAGGAGAGAGGTTCTTCCAGTGACCACACGGCCCGTAGTGCGTCTGCCCCTGCAGCCTCTCTCCTGCTGGGTCAGGACTCGCCTGCCATGGGGAGTCCCCCTGAGGGGCGGTAGTGGCTGTGCCAGGGGAAACGCTGTGTGTCAGTGCATTAGGGAGTCCTGTGGTAGCTGGGCTGTGTGAGGCCCTCAGGACGCCTGCAGGAGAGGCCTTCGCCTCGTGGACTTCGTGGCTCCCCACTGTTTGACCACAGGGAAGGGCCTCTTTCTGTCTCCAGCAGATGCTGTTTCCCTGGAGCACACCTGGGGAGCAGCCCCCAGAGTCGCAGAAAGAGTAGAAAACGGGCAGCTCCTGAAAGTTGCAGCAAAGCCACGGGCGTTTGCGTTAAAATTTTTTTTTAGTTTCTTGTCTTTCCGGCCCAGCAGGGCCTGACGCTGCGTGGTGTCAGGAGCTACGCTTGGCCTCCCTGTTGCTGGCATGGCCAGTCATGTGGTGGTCCCCGAGCCGAGCCTCTGCGCTGCCTGCCTCAGGGAGCTGAGGAGCCCAGCATCAAGCTGCGTCGACTGTGTTGCTTAGAGTTTTCCTTTATCACGAACGAGACCTTTCCATTCTTCTCCCAGGAACTAAACTACAAACTTGTACTTGAGGGCAGCTGAGTGCTTGTTTTTTGTGTGTGGTCCGTGCCGCATGACTGACGGCCGGCCTGTGGTCTGACTGACGGCCGCGTGGCTGACAGACGGCCTGTGTTCCGTGTGATTGCAGGAAGCGTGCTCCAAATTGTGTCTGCCCCCGGGCAGCCATACCTGCGCCCTCCGGGCCCCGTGGTGATGCAGACTGTGTCGCAGACAGGGGCTGTGCACAGCACCCTCAACGCCCTAGGAGGAAAGCCCCCAGCCGGTGCCCCAGCTCCTGCACCCCTGGCCCCACAAGGTACTGTGCCCTGGGCAGGAGGAAGCGCCTGTCCTCACACGTCTTTCTGGTTATTTTCTGGCTTCCAAGGTAACTGAAAGGAACGTAGGTGGTTTTGACCCTTGGCCTTGGGACGCTGTATCCAGGTCTGGGGTTGTCTCTGCTGCCACAGACTGGTTCCGACGCCATCCTCACCTGACTCCTCTCTTGGTCTGAGGAGGGTCAGCCCCCACTGCACTTGGACTTGTGTCTGGTCTCTGTTTTAACTCGAGCTTGCTGGAAGCATGAGAGATTCTGCTTGTTGTCTGTGTCGCGAGTGCACCCAATGGCAGTGCTGGGTGCTCCCAGGAGCAGATCACCAGCACACGTGTCCTCGTGGGCAGGGCCTATGCCTGCCTTCCACTGTCTGACCCTGCCCCGTGCTCTTCGCCTTCCAGCCCCTCGCCTGCCCCAGTGTGAGATCATGCTTGGCCTTGGTCCCCGTCGACCCTCCCTGGCCAGGCCTTACTCATTCGGGGCGCATTCTCAGACAGAAGCCCTGGAGCACAGTGGCTGTGATGAGGGTGCCTCTCCTGGTCCCTGTGAGCATACCACTCAATGGTTGTTGCTCAGCTCCACCCCCATCTCTGTAATCTGCGTGTGATGCTGGGCAAGGGATCTGCTCGTTATGTGTCCCTGCAAGGCCCTGCCAGGGTGCTCAAGGACTGCGGGGTCAGGGGAGGTACTCTGCTCGCTGTGTGTCCCGTGAGGCCCTGCCGGGGTGCTCAAAGAGGGGGGCTCTGCTTGCCGTCTTGCCGGTGGTCCCACGACTCACTGCACCCAGCAGGGCTGTCGGCTTTAGTGCAGTCAGTTCCCCTTTCCAGGTCACCCCACACCTAGGCCAGCTCCATCCTAGCCTTTCAGGGACGCAGAGCCGTTCCTGTTACTAGCCCACCCTGACAAACTGGTGAGTGGGGGAGCCCTTGGCTGGCACACTGGGAGGCCGTCTTTCCTTTCTCAGGAGGCAGATGGGTGGGAAGAACCATAACGGACAGGCATTATTTCTAACACATTAGTTACACTGAGATTTCGTGAGCTCAACTCGTCCAGACATGACTTGTCAACCTCAGATGCCCTCTGCGTGTTCACCTCAGTCAGGGTGCCTCTGTCCGTCAGGTGCGCTGTCGGCCTCAGGTGCCATCTGCGTGTTCACCTCAGTCGGGGCGCCTCTGTCCCTCAGGTGCGCTGTCGGCCTCAGGTGCCATCTGCGTGTTCACCTCAGTCGGGGCGCCTCTGTCCCTCAGGTGCGCTGTCGGCCTCAGGTGCCCTCTGCGTGTTCACCTCAGTCGGGGCGCCTCT